TGTGCGTGTGCGTGTGTGTGTGTGTGTTAAGGAAGGATCCATTCATAGAGGCAAAGAGACCCTGAAAACCCTAGATGATGTTTAGATGGCCACATCTAAATTACTTCAGGAAAATAAGCCTACTGACTGTTTTTCTTAGATTTCCAGATCTCCAGATTGTGTAGATCAGGAAACTATTCAGCCTGTTTAAAAAAAAAAAAAAAATTTTACAACTCTTGTGATCTAAACGACGTTCACTCCTTTTACTATCTCAGCTCCACTCTCTGTTCCGCACTCCTGCCCTTCTCACTGTCATCCGAAATGGCTGTCACTTTCAGTCTTCTTGCTTTCAGAACAGTCTCTTCACACCCTTTTGTAGGTGCTTCCTATTTCTAGAGCCTAAGCTTTCTCTTCCCATCTGTGGCAGCTTCCAGTTCACACCCTAACATAAGCTGTGCATAATCATGTGTGGTCCCAACACATGAGGATTTCTATTTGCCCAGCTGCAAAAGACAAACAGGTGTTGGCTGAACCTTTCAGGATAAACTTAACTATGTACACCTGAATTAGTACAAAAATTAAGTTACTTTCCTTTGGCACAGGTGGGCAGGCCAGAAAAATATCAAACATGGTAGTATTACTCACAGAAAAGGCCTTCCCTCCAGAGTCAAGGGTTTTTTTAAACTCTTGGGGTAAGGACCTTAATGTACCTATCTTTGAATGTCTGGTGCCTTAATACAATACCTGGTATATACGCTTAAATGAACTCCTAATATAGATTGATGAGCCCAACAGTTTGATTGTGGGCAACATTTTCAAAGATATAATATCACACCAGGAAAATCATACTAACCTATCAAAGCCACAAATTAAACACTATGGTTTACAGCCAACTCAATACAGAAAGCAGAGACATGACTGGCACATTCTAAAGACCTACTTTAATTGTCTTCATATCATTATAGCACCAAGAGAAGGATTCATATTGCTTCCTAAACATTTTTTGCAGTGAATTTTAACAACAGCCAAGTACGTATATGTCTCCGTAAGTGAAGTCCTGAAGACCTTACCTAGCCGGGCTCTGCAGCACAGTCCACAAAGCACTGAAGAGAGCGGGCCAGACCAGAGCTGCCTCGGGAAATGGCTACTCTGCTGCGCTTCAGGATGGAGCTCCAGTGTTTCAGACGAGAACCTATGACCAACCCCCAGNAATAGAGATAATCTTAATTTCTGCTTGAAAGCACTTCACAGCAAGTGATCGCTAAATTCATTTCATATTTTTATGAGAAAAACTTGTAGAAGATACTGTGTATAGGGAGTTAAGGAAAGAAGGAACTTGATTAACCTGGAGTTATGCCATAAGGATAAAACATACATAGAAAACCAAGTCACAGATCCTAGAAGGGATTCTGGTATCAATAAGTGTTTGAGGGCGGCTGGTTGGCTCAGTTGGTTAGAGCACTGTGCTCGTAACACCAGTGTTGCTGATTTGATTCCCACGTGGGCCAGTGAGTTGCACCCTCCACAAATAGATTGAAAACAATGACTTGACTTGGAGCTGATGGGTTCTGGAAAAAACACACTGTTCCCCAATAAAGTTTAAAAAAAATAAAAAAATAAGTGTTTGAAACTAAACAGAATGCTTGAATATCTACAGCTCAGAGCAACATGTACAATCCAGTACATGATAGTATGGTTCTCCAAACATGAAGTGATGAATCACCTTTTATTTCCAATGAAGTACACAAAATGACTTGCCATGTATAACTAACCTCCATAATATAAATCAAAAAGGTGGACATATCTGCATTACTAATTTGATCACCTGTTTAGGTGAACTAATTTAAGGGTTGATTTTTACTCTCATTGCATTGTTTAGTATATGCTATGCGAAGCATCCCTAGCAAATAACATTTCTCATTTCATTGAAGGGTCTTTTGAATCATACTACTGGATGCACACATGGTTTCGGAATATTATTATTAATGACAACCCAACATTTCTTGAGTATCTACTATGAGGTAAGGCCCTGTGCTAGGTGTTATGGTATCAACAATATATACTAGACAGTGGTAATGTGGGACATATAATCACTCCAAATCCCTTCTGGAAAGGATGAGGCCTATAAACCACAGAAAGGCGTTTAGAGATGTTCACAGAGCACCGAGCATGAGAAGCCTGTGCCAGGGCTCTTCACTGTGACTCTACAGAGGCTCTTCAATGTGACTCCGGAAGAAACACCAGGTCTTGCTTCTTGCTTATGCAGAGACTGGCATTGTAAACAAAGAATCAATAGAAAATAATGAGGAAAACACAACCAGGAAATGGCAGCTGCACTTAATTCCTTCTTAGAAGTCAGAGAACACTCCTCAACAATGATGCTATTTCAACATGAATTAAAACAGATCTATAACTGAACAGCCCACTCTGTGCCAGGCCTGGGATAAACAGACACAGCGCCTGTTTTCCAGGAGCTCATAGTGCAGGGAGAAAGATGAGCACATGGCACATGACGTGGAGGTGCAGTGATGGACATATGCACAGCGTTATTCCTCCATTGATTCAACAGTCCGGAGGTCCACACCCTGCAAGCACCAGCAATACAGTGGTGACCAAAATGGGGTCTACTCTCTATGCATATCGGAATTAAGGCACAAGATACGAAACATTAAAATCACAATCACACTAGTAAATCAATAATGTTAAACTTGATAAATTATGTAAAGAAACATGATTGTATGAGAGAATAAAATTAAGAGACCTGGCCTAGACTTGCTCAACAGTCACAAAAGGTAGGAATGAGCGTGGAGAGTCATGGGAAGAAGATACAAGAATAAGGTTCTGGCTTGTAGAAACGTATGGATGATGGAACCGCTGTTTCCTGAATAAAGACCAAGCATGGAGGTCTCAGTGGAAATTTTGAGCAGGCAACTGAATCTATGGTTTTAGAACTCAGAAAGCATGTCTGGGATGGAGGCCTTCATTGGCATATCATATATAATTCAAGTCACAGGTTTACATGAGATTGCCCAGGGAGAAAATATGGAGGAAAGAGGAATGACCTAGAAGAGGGCTTCAGAAACTTATTTCATGGATAGACAAGAGGAATGCAGCTAAGGGGCAGAACGTGTCAGGGAGAAATATTATGTGAATTTAGTAGTATTAACAAACACCCAGACTTCCTGTTTCTACTTACAGTGTATTCCATAGTACCATGGGGCTTCTGAACCACCATCTTCTTCTCTTTTTTATCATGTGTTTTGTTTTGATTATCATCTGAAGAATAAAATACATTTAATGAATAATTTCATTTTCAGGAATTAAGGCTAGGGTAATCTACAGTATATTAAAATACACTTGCAAATTGACTAAAAAAGACACTAATAGAAAAATGGACTAAGGGCACAAATAAACCATACTCCTAAAAAAACATACTGTTTCCTAAAAAATACATACCGTTCATCAGTGAACACTTGAATAAATGATTAATGATAACTATAATCATAGTACAAATAACAATGAGGTAATGTTTTATAGTTATTAAAGTAATAGTTTCAATGATGTCTAATGAAGTCAAAGCTTATATAGTCTTAATAGAAATGATGTATAATGTAAATCAATACAGCCCTTTTAGAAAGAAATTTGTCAGTATGCACCAATAGTCATAAAAATGTTCATTCTTTGACCCATCAATCCTTCCCTTAGGAATTTATCCTAAGGATAAATTCAAAAGAAGAAAAATGCCATATATCACAGCATATGGTTACCTCAATATTATTTATAATAAAAATTTGGAAAGACCTATATGTCCATCAACATATTAAGCCACACATTTTTATAGGTCAAAACTGGCCAACCGAAACCTAAATAATTTGGCAGCTGCATATGATTGAACCTAATTTTTATGGTTAAATACATCTTAATATAATCAACTGAGATATTAAAAACCAGAGAGACATGTTGTAATGGACAAAAATTTAAGTGACAAAAATATATAAAATTGAATTAACCATGAAAAGATACTCTAACTTGCATGTGATCAGAAAAATTAAGACAAGGTATAATTTTACACTTATTATCATGGC